CCCCCCCCCCCCCCCCCCCCCCCCCCGGGGAGCTTGTCCCCCCCTGGCAGAACGTGACCACGTCTCCCCAGCAGCCACGTCTGTAACGACGTCTCCGGCTCGTCAGCCCGTCAGCATCTCAGGCCACAGCAGCCTGTGAGCCCCAAACGTGGCCCCTTCCTGGACACGAGATCCAGGGTAGGGATGTCACTTCCCCCCGCCGCCTCTATCAGACAGAGGCAGGAAGAGGAGGGTACTTCAAAGCGGCAGCGCTGCATGGAGCTGACCTCCGGCTCCATGTGGTGCTGCCCCTTTGAAACACCGCCTCTTTGAAACAAGACCCCAGCTGACCCCAGGCTCCTATCGACTAATCGAATAGTCGATGCAAAAACGCATTGACTATTTGATTAGTGAATTAAATGATACTTAACATCCTCAATCCAGGATCCATTACTGGATGTGAGCTCGCCCATTAAAATCAGGGCGAATCTAGAAAACGCAGACCACTGGCCACACGGGGGTAACTCTGCCCTTTATAACTCTGCCCTTCATAACGCTTTTCTCCTCTGAGTCAGTTCCTCTGAACACTAAATGCAGAATAACTTTTTGGGGGTCACCGGTGTGCGGAATGGCTCTGGCATGGGATCGTCTCTGTTCTTGGGTACATTATGGTATTGGGCAGCACTGGTGCAGATTAACCATCTCTACTGCTGAGAGGGCTAAAGACTGCACACAGACCAAGTGCTCGGTTCTCATTATACCTCAATGATCAGGGATATCCCATACGTGTGTCCAATCCCCCCCCCCAACTTCCGGTAGCCTCCTGTTTCCTTCCCCATGACTGTGCTGTCCTGAGTGCAATGCACGTGTGTGTACCTGCCCTCTACTGGATGTAAATAGAACTGCTCCGCTGTGTGTCACATGCCTTGTACTGCCAGACAAATGCTCCGTTAGCTTAAGTGCTGGAGGCAGTAGGACCTGAGTTTTACCCCCACTGTCTCTGCAAAGTGTAACTGGATAATGGAGTGCAGCAGATGGCCAGGAGTGGAATATACCTGAAACAGCCTTGTAGCTGATATCTGCCACTGGCCACACTCCTTCCTGCTCCTCCTTCAACAAACTCCTGTTAATCCTCCTTTTGTACACAGCATTCCCGCTACAATGTCCACAGAACCCTTGTACGTTTATCTATACTGTCCCTGTCCATCCTGCTGCGTATGATATGGCACTTGGTCATGCCTTAGCTCTTTTGGGGTAAAGAATCTGGTCTATGTTTAGTCCAGCCTATCTCCGAGAAAGCACTGCATCCAGCTATGGTTCAACATAAATCATAAAAACAACCAATATTCCTGTGGCGCCTTATAGACTACGAAAATATATAGTATCATGAGCTTTTGTGGGCAAAATCCACTTCATCAGATGAGCTGGAGTAGAAATATCAGAATCCAAGATTTATTAGGACCTGTGTTAATGAAGCTAATTAAGTGAGCTGGATGTGTCCCATTCATAGCTCTTGATGTGAAAATCTTGGATTCTGTTATTTCCACTCTGGAAAATTTGGATATGGCTCCTGGAGAGTTGAGCTATGTTGTTCTCTGTGAGCAATATGTCTAGGAAGGTTTAAAATTTAGGAAGCGTGGGGCCAGTTTTTAATATTTGTTGAAGAGTTGTTTTCTGACAAAAGCAAATATTAGAAAAGTCTTTGTGGCATTTACTTGGGCATTGACTGAAATTATTAGTTGGTCGGAGAGAAACATTCCTCTATAGGTCTCAGAGCGGGTAGCCATGTCTGTCTGTATGTCCAAAAACAATTAGCCCGGTGGTACCTTAAAAATGAACAGATTTACATGGGCATACGCTTTCATGGGCAAAAACCCACTCTGTCATTATCACCTGAAGTAGGAATTTACCCACGAAAGCTTATTCCCAAATGAATTGGTTAATCTTCAAGGTGCCACAGGACTTCTCATGGTTTTTTCTCTTGCAGGGTTTGCATGAGAGCCACAAAGGGAGGTTGGTGAAAAATATACCTTAAACCAAACTGAATGTGATCAGAGTCTATTGCCTGAGTGAAATGCGCAGAGCAAACGAGTTGTGGGAAGAGTGCACATTTGAGGCTTTACAATTGTGTAGGCCGACATTTTTAAATAGTGACTAGTGATTTTGAGGGCCGTAGTATGTCATGCCCGATTGGCCACCTTAACAGGGACTGATCTTCAGAGGGTGGATGCTTCACGTGAGTGCATGCGTGCTACTCCCACGTGTTCTCAGGAAGCATGTGCATTTACTGAGCGAAACTAGTTCCCGATGCAGGGAACCTGTAAGGAAAGTGCCTTTAGGGCACCCAAAGAAATAGCAGTCCAGCCAGTGCCCCAAAATTGGGGCCGAGAGCCGGGGTGAGAGGGCTTTCAGTGTAGCTGGGTCCCGGTTACAAAGTGACAGATTAGCCGAGGAAAAAACACACATACCTGAACTGTGCCTAGCTAGCTTGTCAGTGTGGGAGAGCCCTTCCAGGACTGTTTGCATAACGATAGCAATCTTATATTTATACAGGGACCTTTCATCCCATAGGATCCCAAAGCATTTCACAAGCCGGATAAAGCACACAGGCATCACTTTGTCATGAAGCCATAGCCACTAAGAGAGCAGAATTGTGAACTTACACTGTACATATGCCTTGTCTGGAAAAGAATTTATAACACTGGGTTCCCAAAACACATGCAACTATTTGAGCTAATGGAGATTCTCCCTTAGCCCTCACCAGAAGTAGGGCTTTTATCTTCTCTGTAGCCTGCAGAGAGTAATCAATAACCATTACAACTTTACCCAGCATTTAAATGCAGCCACCTCTGAAGTGGAACATCTTAGCTATATTAACTACAGTACAGCTGAAAGGAGGAAATGAAGAACAACGTATCCAGTTGAAACTATAAATGGGAATTTCGTGGAGCAAAATGTAGGCATTTGGCTAAGAGACTCAGGAGAACTTTCCCCTCTATTTATGGGAAAAAGCCCTGCCCGATCTAGGGTGACCACACACTTTTCCATGATGCTGCGGGTCAACCAAAAGACCTTAGCTGCAGAAGCACAGTGCCTCTGAACATACTAGTTCATGATTCAGAAGATGGTGCTCTTCCTATTGAATGCTTCCCAATGCCCCAGCTAGCGTTTTTCCTTGCTGATCTCCGGTCAAATCACAGGTCTACCCCACCTCACTCCTCCTTAGCTGGTGAGTTTGCATTGTGTTACTACCTGGAGAGCAGTCTATGCTACCTCCTAAGAAGACTTCCTACCACAGGGACCTCCAAGGCATGGATGTGTGAGCAAGGCAGAGACCAGTTTCCAAAAGGAGGTCACAACAAAAAAGGGCAAAAAGAAGAAATGGTTACAGAGCATTTCAATTGCAAACACTGGGAGATTTCCCTGCCTGCCTCCCAGAGCTGCCACAGGGTCGGCAGGTGAGCAAAGAGGCAGCATCCTGTGGACACGGCCAGATTCCCCCTCCCCTCCTGTCCCAAGCTCTGCAGGGTGGCGAGGGATGGAACTGGGGTTTGCTGGCTGGCCAGTACCTCCATCATGCAGCCCAAATTCTTGATTGGAGTCCTCCAAACTTGGGGAGTTTGCGGTAAAGTCGCGGTTAATTAGCTAATTGAGTAGTCGATGGAATTCCCATTGACTACGTGAGGAGTCAATGGGGGGAGGGGAGGTGCTCGCTACCCCTGCTGCGGCTCTGCAGTTTAAATGTAGTAGGAGCCGAGTGTGCAGGCAGCCCGGCTCTTACTACGTTTATAATGCAGAGCCACAGTGGGGGTAGCTCCCAGGGGCGGGGCGAACTGGGACTAAGCAGTCCCAGCTCGTGCCAGCTCCAGGCCTGCTGCCACTCACATTCCCTTCCGCACTGCAGAGACGGTGCTGGGGGGAACCGGGTTACTGCAGAGACGGTGCTGGGGGGAACCGGCTTTTAAGCTGGCCCCCCCCAGCACTGGCTTCTGCTCCCTGCCCCTTGCTGTCTCTGATACAGATACTGATAAAGAACTAGATACATTCATGGAGGATAGGTCCATAAAGGGCTACTAGCCAGGATGGGCAGGGATGGTGTCCCTAGACTCTGTGTGTCAGAGGCTGAGAATGGGCGACAGGGGAGAGATCACACGACGATTCCCTGTTCTGTTCCCTCCCTCTGGGGCACCTGGCATTGGCCCCTGTTGGAAGCGAGGACCCTGGGCTAGCTGGACCTTTGGTCTGACCCAGTGTGGCCGTTCTGATGAGTAGTCAAGGAGTGACTCACCTAAGCTTATCGGGTAGTCGACTACCCAAGCAGTCGCTTACATCTCTATTCCCCCCCCAACCGCCACAGCTCAGTTCTGTGTTACCTAGAGAGCCATGCACGTGGCTGGTGGGACGGGTCGGGCTCCGTGGGTCACTGTTGAAGTCTGGGTACGAACAGACCCTCTGGGCAACCATCACTGGCCGAGCAATTCAAAATATAGACAGCAGCCAAAGAGTTAACCATCCCTCATACACACACACACACACACACACACACACACACACACACACACACACGACTATAATGTAAAAAATCCCCATGTCGCTTTCGTCCTTTGCCACAGGGCGTAGGAGCCCACGTCTCACAGCCCTCCCTCGGTTTTTTTATTGTAATGGTTCCCCTTTGGTTTTGACACATGTTGAAAGCTGTTTGCTGTGTGCTCGCAGGGTTTGCGTTCCAAGCCCCAGCGCAGTGCTGCGAGCAATTCTGCAAACCAACCAGCATTTAACACTCAGAAGGAAAAAGTAAATGTAGCAATTGTGGGTTAATGGGCTCCCCCTTCTCGGCTCCTCCCGCTCCCTTTCTCTCCTTCCCCTGTTTATATAACCCCAAAGTCATAAAAATGACAACACATCCAATCACAGGGAATGGATCTAATTTACCATCCGCAGCCCCTATAAAACCGCAGATGGGCCAGCGGGCAGCAGTCTGGGATGCCTCTGTTAGAATCTAGGCTAAAATGAAATTCCAGGAATATTGCCCCATGCCTGATAAATGAGGGTTAAACCTCCGAGTCCCAAATTATCTAGGTTTCTGAGCCAAAGCCGGGGAGCTGCTCTCAGACACCCTGGTAATGAGTAGCTTCATAGGAGGTGATTTCTCATCACTTTGAATGTCAGTGTCACAAGGTCTGGCGCAGAGACTCCTTGATCCTGCGGTACAGTGTGGCCTGGGGGTTGTGGGGTTTCTTGACCTGTGTGTAATGGCAGCGGAGAGGCGTCCTGTTCCAAGACACGTGCTCAGCGTTGGTATTCGCTCGGCGCGCTCAGGGCTGTCACATTGCAGAGGACGTTACAGACGGAGTAAAGGCCCTCGGTCCTGGGAGAGTCCAAACCCTGCTCCAAAGGGGGTGAACTGCTGTAGCCGACAAGTCAGGACAGAGCTGGGGTCAGGCCAGTAAAGCAGGAACGGGCCCCTCAGAGGTGGGCCAATCAGCCGCCCAGAGCCCATTTCTGGGGCTGTTTTGATTTCATTCCTTGAACGTTTCCTTTGTCCCTTGCCTCGTGCTTGTCCCAGTGAGGGAGAGCTTTGCGTGTGTTTGTGGGCAAGCGTGTGCACGTATGTGGGTGTTACACGAGCAGCACGCCTGGTGTGCAAACCTGCTTCCCCCGCCCAAGAGCCAATGTAGCAGGCTGACAACTCTGCAGCAATGAGAGAAGGCAGCCCGCCAAACAACGCAGGGACCAGTGCAACTTGGGTCGGCGCGTGCCAGGGATAGAGGACCCTGCGCAGAGTTCGCGAGGAGACTCTGTCCCTGCTTCTCTTGCTCCTCACTCCCGATCTGTCCCAATCTCTCACCCTCTTTCCTCCTGGTCTCCTCTCGTCGTCTTTCTCCCCTCGTGTGCCTCTGATGGGTGGCCGGGGTGCGCTCGGGCTTCCGGCGAGATTCTTGGGGAGGGGGGAAGGGATACTTGAGATGAGGCTGACAGACAGAACCTTCAGGAGACTCTGTCCCTGCTTCTCTTGCTCCTCACTCCCGATCTGTCCCAATCTCTCACCCTCTTTCCTCCTGGTCTCCTCTCGTCGTCTTTCTCCCCTCGTGTGCCTCTGATGGGTGGCCGGGGTGCGCTCGGGCTTCCGGCGAGATTCTTGGGGAGGGGGGAAGGGATACTTGAGATGAGGCTGACAGACAGAACCTTCACTCCTGCACGCAGCACGTGAGCCAGCCTGCCAGTTACCTCTCCCAGGGTGACCCCGGCCTG